ATTATAAATATTATAAATATAATAAAAAAAGATTTAATATTATAAAAAATATAATAATATATATTTAATTTTTTTTTAAAAACTTTATTATTAAGTATTAAAATTGTAAAATATATATTAACCTAAATTATTATCTTAAAATTACAATTTTTAATTATATATATAAATTTTATTAATTAAAGTTAATATTTTAATTATTTAAATAATTTTTAATATAAGATTCTATTTTTTTTAAGTAAGATTGCTAAAGAACTTTTTAAATTTAGCTAATATATATTAAACTTTTAATAAATAAAATAAAAAGAAATTAAATATGTTAATATTTTCAAAATAGATATAAATTTAGTTAAAAAATAAGTATTTATATTAATTAAAATATTTTTATTATTATTTAATTTTTAATATTTATTATTTTATATTTTAAATAATTAATTAAATAAATAAATTAATTTAAATTAATATTAATTTAAAAGATTTTATTATAAAATTTTTTTTTTATTGTAAAATATTGAAATATTTAAATTACAAATTTAATTAACTTGTAATTTTTAAAGAAAAAAAAATAAATAAATAAAAATTGATATTTAAAAATTAAATTATCTATATATTATATATTTTTTTATGCTTATTATTTTTTAAACTTAACTTTAAATAAATTATAAAAGAATATTTATTTTTATGAATTAAGTTATTTTTTTAAATAAATTTTATTATTTAATTTTAATATTTAATAAATCTTTAATTTATATTAAAATTCTAAATAAAATTTATATTAAATTAATTATAATTTAAATTTAAATTAGTATTTTAAATTAATTTAAATTGGATTATATTTAAATAATATTTAAAATATTATAAACTTATATAGAATTTTAATATTTTTTTTTTTTAATTAAAATATATAAAAAATTACTTTTATATATAATTGATTAAAACTTATATAAAAATTTAGAAATATTATGTTAATAATATTAAAACTTAAATCACAATAATAATTTTATTAAAAAATTTATAAACTCTGTTTTCAATTATTTTATATATTAAATACAGTATATTTATAATCTTTAAATTTTATATCTATTAAAGTATCTGCTAAAGCTAATAATTAAATTTTTTTTCATTTATTTTTGTTTTTATTTTAATTTTCAATATTGACTGTTAATTGATAATTGATTTTTTTTAATCCAATAAAAATGATTTTTTTGAACTAATTTATATATAACATTTTGCTTGATAAACCCGAAATTTACTTGCAAAAAAAAGGGGGGAATCCTTTTTTATTAATTACTATAAAACACTTCATTCCAAAAAAAGCAAAACTTTTCTTTCGAAATCTTTTTGTAATTGCTAATCCATAAACTTTAAAAAAAACAGTTTCAAGAATGCTTTATTACTATAATAAATTTATGCATTTGTGCTATCTCGATCTATTTGCGTGAATTGCAAAGCAAGACTAGATCCAGCTACAAAGTAAAGTAACGATAATGAAAATCTTTTACTTTCTCGCTTAGACTGAATTAATGCAGACAACCAAAAAAATAAAAATTTTTTTAGAAGGTAAGATAATTAGCCGAATTAACCGATGAGAGGTACACAAGTCACAGGTGATATAATACTGTGTTGCAAATGTTGGCTAAATATTAAGGCTGGTTATATTGTACTAATCTAGAAAGACCGATGATTCATAAGACCCATTGGCACAAAAAGAATTATTTTAGAGTCTCATATGATTTAATGAATCGAAGGAGATTTTGATTCGTAATATATAAAATAAATAAAAGGGATAAAAATAATAGCCTTACTCCGTATAAATATTAAAAAAAAAGTTACCATGTGTACGATTATTATTATTATTATTATTTAAGCCTGAAAAAGTTCTTTAATTCATTACCCAATATCGGAAGGCGAATTATATACAGAATCTTTCTATTATATGTCAATTTCGGATTCTTTGATTTCCGGCTTTGCTATCGGGTTTACCATTTTTGGAGAAGACCCTGCGAATTTACCGAATACAACTGAAAAGGAAAGTCAAAAGATCAAAAGATATTCCAAGATTTTTTTAATTTAATTTAAAAAAACGAAATATTTAGCCGGAGTTACGACATGGAAAAAATTCCGATTTTGTAAAGAACCCCTGAATTTTGTGGGGTACTTGCCATTTTAAGAGTTTTATTGACATTTGTGTACTACAATATTTTTTATGCTAATGGAAATTATATAAATATCCCGGATTCAAAAACTTTTTTTCTATTTCTTTATATCATTATAATATTCACTAAGACCATTAATAAGCCTCGTTATTGTGAATAAATAAGGTTGGTTCAGCTTTTGACTGTATATCGATAAAACTTACAATATTTGGTAAATTTTCTCCCTCTCTCTTTCTTTCTCTCTTTCTCTTCTCTTCTCTTCTTTTTTTTTATATATAAAAAAACAATGTTAATTTGTTATTTTTATTTAAAAGACATGGCGCGAACTTCAGTAATTAAGCAGGGAAACGTAACAAAAAGACCAAGACGACAATGGTGTACAAAAGAAAAATTAGAGGTGCTAAACTATTACAAACAAGGACATAGTAAGAGAGCAACAGCTGCAAAGTTTGACA